CAAAATTACTTCAACCGAAGGTTTCCAGATGGATATGCGGAGCAAATCCATCTGGCGGAGTCAGGTTAATAGGTACCAGCACCCCTTGCGAGCCCGCTTGGTATGAGAGTGATGGAAAATGGATAGATGGAGGGCTTCTTAGGTCTATGCTTCATGCTGTCAGAGTTGCTAGGCGACCAGCAATAATGGATCAAAATTCCCTCCATAGTCTCCCAGCATAAATAGCTCTATCCCTTTCTTATATTCTTAAAGTCTCCGATAATCTTAATGATCTTTTTTCTTCCTACAGCTTCTCGCGGATCTTCCACCAGACAGTAAAAGAACTCGCCCCAAAATGTGACGTTAACTTCCTGCTCTCTGAGGACGGCAGCGGTAAAGGAGCTGCCCTCATCACTGCCGTGGGCTGCCGCCAGAGAGAGCTGGAGGCCCAGCAGCACTGAGGAGCTCTGTCCTGTCCGTGCACCTCAGTGAGCTGCTCCTCCTCCGCTGAGATTTCTCCTCCACCTGCAGCCTGAATCCTCCTCCCCTCATCAGCAGCCGTGACTCCAGCTCTGCCCCACCTGCAGCCAGAGACAAGCTCCATGCATAGTTTGAAACCTGAACATACAGATGTCTATAATCCACCAGAGGCTTTATTGTTTCCCTGTTTGTACATTTTCCTGTAGTATCTTGTTAAAAGTATAACTTAAACCCCTTAGGTGTGCAATATTACTGTGTCGCTAATTTTATTTTTATATGGAGGCAGATATTTAACTGTTTATACAGACAGCCACTTTAAATCCAAGATTCTACTGATTTGTTTTGCACCATTCACAAGCTAACGTGTGCACTTTTTATATGAGGGCTTCAACTGCAGCATTACATGTAATTTACATAGTAAATCCTGATTGTCTTTGAATAATGAAACTTGTTTTTAACAGGTTGAAATAACAGCTTTATAAAGGACTGGCTAAATTAGGGTCAAACACAAGAGTCACGGCTGCCCTGGTCATCGCCGCTCTATGTGCTACGTGCTGAGGCTACTAACCTGTTTGTGTATCTGTCATTGTTGATTATTCCTAATGAACCACATCCTTTATTCCTCAAAGGCAGACAAAGGTAGAAAATGGAAATGTTAGAGTATATTATTGATATTTGTTCTTTACTTTGGCTGTTGTGACGAATCAGAGTTTTATTCCTTGTGTGTGCAGAGAATAAATGTTTATGGGGGTCCTAACCAGAGAGGATTTAAGAGCGCTTTTGTGTGTGTAGTTGTGGCTGAGTGTCCTGCTGTGATAACCTGTAGCTTTTCAGTGTTCGAAGCTCTGTGGAGATTGCATGCCTTACATCAACAGATACGTATTATTTTTACTGCCTTTATAGATCTGTGACCAACACACCCACCTACAGCTCATTAAATTATATTCTGTTGTGGAGTAAATTCTGTCTTTTTCTTTTTAATAAAGAGAACAATGAATCTACTACTAAATATAAGGCTTAATGAACAAACTCCAAACCAAAAATATTGTGAGGATGAGCTC